AAAATCACAGATTTGAAAGGATGAATATTGGGGAAAATATTCTAGGTTAGACTTGTTGAACAAATCATATCAACCTATAGCAATTTTAATTGTGAGAACAAATACATGGCCATATTTGTCAAGCTGACTAGTATATTATATATAAATAGCTCACAAAAGTAAATACTAATGTAGAAGAATATGGAGAAGGCATCTCATCTTACACAAGGAAAAGACATTGATAGAGATCTACTTTTGTCAAAATCCAAGTATGAAGGGTAGATGTTTTTATTTAAGAAAACAACAGCCCCTTAAGAATTTGTTCTTTATATTTTGAGATTATAATTATATCATTTCTCATTTCTGTTTCCTTCCTCCAAACCCCTTTTCTCCATACCCCCTTTCATATCTACGACCGCTTTTTCTTTAATTGTTGTTACTTTTATTCTATGTATATATTTATTCCTAAAAACAACCAGCTCAGTCTGTATAATGTTACTTTTATGTACAAGTTTTCAGGGCTGACTCTTTGGCATTGGATTACCATTTGTATCCTCTTTCCTATGGAAGGCTTTCCTTAGTATTCTGTAGTTCCTTGTGTAGAGTTGAGGCCTCATGAGATCTCCTCCATTCATAGCAGCATATCTGTCGGTGTCATCTTGTTCACCTCATGTTTGGACAGTCATGTTGATGAGACTTTATGTGCGTAGCTTCTGACATTCCTAGGAGGCACAATCTCACAGCAAATTCCCTGTTTCTCTGGCTCTTATCATCTTTCTACTGCCTCTCCTGCAATGATCCCCGAGCCCTGAGTGCAGGAATTGTGTTTGAAATCTATCAGTTGGGACTGGGCTCCACAACTCTACATTTAATCAGCTGTAGTTTTGTGTAATGGTCTCAATCTGTTGCAAAAAAATGTTTTCTTACTGAAGGGCGAAAACTACCCTTATCTGTGTGTATAAGCCAAATACTTAAAATATAGCTAGAAATTATGCTGGTTTAATAAAGTGGAATTGTAGGTTCTCTTCCAAGAACCATGACTTAACTAACCCTAGGTAGTTGGCTAGGTTTTCAGTACCAGGCATGATTTTGCTCTTTTTATGCAGGTCTCACACCCAATTGGGGAGCTGTTGGTTATTACCAAGGTACTTAAGTCACTGCCATACCCTTAGGGTTATCCTGCATGCTGTTCATTGTGATTCATAGGCATCATAGTTGGGCAAGACTGTTGGTTGCTTCCCTCCTTTGGAAGGTTGTATGATGCTCTTCTGGTACCATGAAAGCTAGTCCTCAGGGAGGAGATTTTCAGATCAGTTCTAAGTAAGGATCTCTGGGCCTTTTGTCTGAAGTGCATGATATCTTCAGGCACAGGAACATACATTTCATCTTGTGGGGGTGGTGTTGGTGGTGGCAACCAAGGGCAACAGCAATAGCCTATAATGTTTTGAGAGTCTCTTTGACAAACTTGATGAGCAATTCAAAAGAAGGCTTCTTATGGCTGGTGTTAAGGGACTTCATGGTCTACTTCACAGACCCTTGTTCGACCATGTCCATTGCTGGTCTATTCACAACAGCTGTGAAATGGAAACAGCCTAAATATCCTTCAACTGATGAGTGGATATTGAAAATGTAATACATATATGCAATGGAATGCTATTCAGCTGAGAAGAAAAATTAAATCTTGAAATTTGCGGGTAAATGGATGGAACCAGAAAAGATTATATTTAGTGAAGCAACCCAGATCCAGAAAGACATTGTGTGTTCTTTCTAATCGAAGCCCCTTCCTCCAAATCTTGAAATGTGAGTACATAACCTGGAGTCACTTCGGAAACCAGGAAAGTAAAAAGGGACCATTGCAAGGAGAGGGTAGGAACAATAAAATGATCTGAAGGGGAAATTGGAAAAATAGGGTGGGTTTTAATTTGGGAATGAGGAAGGAGATAAATACAGAAGGAAGAGCAAGGGGATAAAATAACAGCTAGGATGTCTGAAAAAAATCATAAGCGATCATACTACTATCTACCTAAAATACCTATAATACATGTAAGACAGTATATGAATATATACTTATATATGAATATATATATATATAGTTTAAATGAAATTTTCCACTGAGCTGGCAGTGCTCTCCCTCCCCCAAGACAACCCTTTTTGTCATTATTATTTATTTACTGCAATAATCAATAGAAAAGTACTTCCACACGCACGTACAATGTACATTAGCATAACCATCCACCCATCTTAGACTCTATTTCCTCTAACTCATGGCCACTGCTTTCAAAAATCCCCAGTAATCTCTCTTCTATTTTCAGGATGACTTTTTGGCTGTTGTCATTTCCACAGATGGGAGGGGACATGTTATCCTTGCCTTCTATCTGTGCCTGGCCTTTTCAAGCTAAATCAATATCTTCTAATTTCATCCATTTTTTTTTTCTGGGCAAATGACAAGATCTCATTCGATCTGAGCGAATAGTACCTCATTACACATGTGTGTTGCATTGTCTCCCTGCGTTCATCTGACGACAGGCACCACTCTGACTCCATATTTTAGCTGTTGTGTGTAGCTGTACGGAAACAGTACTTGGACTGGTGTATGCTGACTGTTTCTTTACCTTTGAGAAGTCAGAAAAGTCAATAAAGGTTTAGGAGAAATTCAGTATTTAGAGAAACTAAAAGTTTGTCTAACCTGCTCATTTCATAGAAATGTGCAGAGGCTAAGCCAAGCTTTTGAGTATCGTAAAAATGAGAGGAATAAAACTTATGAGGAATGCATGTTACTTATAGGAGTTTATGTGGCCGAGTGCTTGCCTAGCATGCACCAGGTTCTGGGTTTGAGCCCACTGCAAGTACTAAACTTCTGTAAGCTAAAGAAATGTATTATACATTACCTCGTCTCAGTATTTTGTTATAGGCACAGAAGCCAAACTATGATTACAGACATGCAAAAATTTCATTTAAAATAGTGAAGTAATTGACAAATTTTATAATAGAATAGTTCAGTTCTTTAGTTCAGTTCTTTGAAATATGGAGAGTTAAGAGAAAGAAGTATCGAAAAATGAAAATAAAGGCAAACACAGGAGTAAAAGGTTATTGTCCTGTTGTGGGTGATCTATCGGACATGGTAAACTAGAATTCTGGCTTAAGAACACATAGGAATCACTTATGAACCTTTATCTGTACCACGGTGTCTAATCTAGACATTTCCTGGCTTGGGCTAGCTGTGAAAATCTGGACATAGTTTAAATATATATATATATTTTTTCCACTAAACTTTTCTAGATTTCAGCTATTTCTCTAAAAAGTGCCCCTTGGCTGAACTGTGAAATGGAAGGAAAAAAAATCACCAAGACTCATAATACTTTGGCATGGGACATTGATCCATTAATGAGTATTAAGGAGTTGTGAAATTGTGTCTTAAGAATCTGTCCTCAAATATGTGGGAAAGCTCTTGCTCAGCTTACAAAGGCCTGTTCTTCTGATCCTAACTCTTTAGCAGGAAATGTATGTTCTGAATGTATCTGGCACATATGTGCATTCATGACACATAACTGGATTCTTTGAGGTCTTCAGTGGGTAAAAGAGAGAAATGATTAAAGCATCCCTGGGGAAATAAGACAAACTCTTTGAGTCAGAAAACTACCCCCAAATAGAGTGTGTTCAAAGGGACTTTTTGTCTGCATGGTGAATAAAACTATGTATTTTTTTTTCATGCAAAGCACATAGACTGTTGCAATGTAGAATTTAGCAACCCATCTCCACCGCTAGACATTGGGAAGTATTACTCCCCTTTCTTAGAACTTTCACTGTTCCCTTTTCTTCTGAAGGCTGTTGTTGTGAGTGTATGTGTCAAAAATGCTTTCTGGGCCTCAGGATAAGTCTTGGTTCATGTTATTCAAAATCGTACTGCTATGAGGACTACGTCGAAAACTAATTTATGAGTTGACATGGCCAACTGACAGAAGTGTTTTTGATTGTTTGAAGTTGCCTCACTGAGTTCCACTGCAATTCCTGTTTAAATGGTTTTCAACTTTAGCTGTATTTTGCATGAAGACTGTTCATTTGAAAACAACCAAAAAAAGTAAATTAAAAATATGAAGTAAACATTCTCTTTTTTTTTAACCTGAGGACAACAGATAACATAGCAATACAAATTATATTTCACACAATTGTTGTAATTTTTGTGCTTTAAAGGAGCATTTTCCCAATCAGCAGCATTTTAAAGTTGCATATGCCAATCACATTATTCTCAAGCCATAATAATAAGCATTTAAGTGATGTTGAAAACTGTTTCTGTTCAGAGAAGTGGCTTCTGAGGAAGAGGCCGGGCATCTTGGAAAAACCTGTGAGCATTCCTTATCTTTTCCACTTAAATCACGAATCTGAGAAAATACACTGAAATGACCTTTGAAATAACATCAGTGGATGTGAATGAATATTTAGTAATATTCAAGGAAATAATGATTATTTGAAGGAAAATGTGAAACAAAGACAGGAGAACTGTATCAAGGTTGGCTTAAGTCAGTAAAAAAATAAACATGAGAAAATAATGATAAACTCTTACAATTATTTTCTAAGGCCAGTGTTTTGCTATGTTGTTGTTGTTCAAAAGGAAAAGGCTGCTTTTGGTAGGAAACAAAACAAAATAACTCTTCTTTGTATCCCTCCTCTCGGCTTTTCTTCCTTCCTTTCCTTTCTCCTTCTCTTGATTCCAAGCTGTTGAACTTACCTGATTCACTGTGGCTAAGTATCGGGTGGTACGTGATTAGCATGACAGCCTTCCTGCCCCTATGGAGCTTGGGACCTAGTGGGAGACCACTGTGCACAGACACAAGAGAAGTCCCTGCCTTTGTAGATTTTCCTGTTCACACTGTGTTCCGTGTTTCAGTGGTCTATTGCTGTCAGAACTTTTGTATGTGAATGGTATCAATATGTGACTCAAATATTTTTTTAAAGCTTTTACCTTCATTTTGACATCTTTTCTGTTTTTTTTTCCTCTTTTTTTTTTTTTTAATGAATGAGAGGAGTAACAGTGCGAGACAACGATGCAGCTTATAATTCTTACTTGAAAGAACAGAAGACATTGGGAACTACGGCTGACTGGAGCTGCCTCTCAAGGGCACATAGGACAACTAGAGGGCATTCCCATGTACTCAGTTCCACCCCACTGCCGCCAGGGTCCATGCTGCTTCCGGGTTCTGTCAGTTCTGCCAAACTATAATGACAAAAAGCCCACAAATGCAAATTGCTGAAAACTTGACCACAAAGAGACAAGAAGGGACTGAGCAGACAAAAAGCCAAGGATGATTCTGCTTCTTTTGTTTTCACTTATTTTGACTTTGAGATGAAGATCTTGCAATAGTGCCCAGGTTCATCTAGAACTGTATAGGTCAGGCTAATCACCAACTTGTAAAGATCCTTCTGCCTCTGCCACTACCTTCCGCAGGCTAGATTTTTTTCAGGCATGTACCACCATGTCTGGGCCTGTACTTTTCACTTATGTATGTATGCATGTATGTCTGTATGGGCACACATTCATATACGTGAATGCAGGCATGAACATGCTGAGATGCCATATGGTCAGAGGACAGACAACCTTGGGTGTTGGTCTTTCCATGCACCTTGTTTGAGACTATCATTCTCTTTTACCCCCTGCCCAGCAACATTCACCAGGCTAGCTAGTCCACAAGTTTCTGGGACTTCTCCTGTTTCTGTTTCTAGTCTTCCCATAGGAGCGTTGTGATTACAGACACTTGTTATGCTCCCAAGTTTTATATAGGTTCTTCATGCTTGAACCCAGGTCTTCATGCTTGGACAGAAAACACTGAGTCACCTTCCCAGCTACCTGTATTTCTTAATACAGAGTCTCTTTTTATTTATTTATTTATTTATTTATTTATTTATTTATTTATTTATTTATCTATTTATTTATCTATTTATTTATTCATTTATTTATTTATTTAGGTGTAGCATGAATCTTAAAAGGTTCTTATTAGTAAAAACAAACCCGGGAACCAGGTATTGGGGTGAATGGCTGGAAGATCAGAGAAGCAGAACAAACTACAGTCACCTCACCTTGCCAATTCCTCAGCTGATCCTATTTCCTCAGACTGGAAGCCTCTGAGTTCTTATCCAAATGGATCTCAGCTGAACTGTGCTGCTCAAAAGCCTAAAAGCTTAACCAACTCTAGTTCCTGGTTTTCACGCCTTATATACCTTTCTGCTTTCTGCCATCACTTCCTGAGATTAAAGGCATGAGTCACCATGCCTGCCTGGCTGTTTCCAGTGTGGCCTTGAACTCACAGAGATCTGGATGGATCTCTGTCTCCCAAGTGATAGGATTAAAGGCATGTGTGCCACCATTTTCTGGCCTCTATGTCTATCTAGTGACTGTTCTGTTCTCTGATCCCAGATAAGTTTATTAGGGTGCACAATATTTGGGGAACACAATATCACCACATTTTGGTTTTTTTTGAGACAAGGTTTCTCTGTGTGATTTTGGTGCCTGTCCTGGATCTTGCTCTGTAGACAAGGCTGGCCTTGAACTCACAGAGATCTGCCTGGCTCTGCCTCCCGAGTGCTGGGATTAAAGGCGTATGCCACCGCCACCTAGCAGAGTCTCTTTTTATAAATTAAAAAAAACCCTTTGTTTAATCTTTCTGGGTGTTGCTTTTAGATCAAAGATATGGGAAGCCCTTATACTCATAAATAAATAAACTCACAATATACATTTAAAAAGATTCAAGTCTACATTTTGATAAAATATGTAATGAAGGTCAAGTATATATATATATATATATATATATATATATGTTTATATATAAAATCATAGATACATTTTAAAAAGAGAATTTGCCTTAAACAATGTAAAATCTACACATGAGAAGGTAATTAGCTGTATTTTAAAATTTAAAACAAAATGAAAAGCAGAGAACAGACGGAACTATGGCATGTAGGGAGTGAGGCCTGAAGGAAGGATACTTCTGTAGTGTTGTGCATTGAAGTCCTCTGAATGGAAAGCTTCCTTACTGTAGAAGCCCATCAGGACTCAGGAAATAAACAAAACTGTCAAGGCTAAAGCAGGGAAAACTCATAAGTCTCAGGAAGTTTTTGAAACTTATAAAACTCACAAGGTGTCTCTCCAAGTTAAGAGAGGGGAGACTACTGCCAATGAACTGCCTGTGAGTTCAAGGATTCAGCTTTTATGAACTGTCACCCACGGTGGGGTGAGCTTTTTGGTGATGCAACTTCCTTTGAGTTCTTGGTGTTCCTGTGAGCAATCCCTCACCAACTCCTGTAAGTAACCTCAATAAGCTCATGAGTCACTAAGCTAGACTAAGGTGGGATGCTTCTTTGGTTTGTTATCAGTGCCCTATCTAGGGTAAATGGATGTTTGTTCACACCTGCCAGGAAAATTCATACAACATGTAAGTTAAAATAACTTGAATATATGAAATCAATTTCTGTGGATTATGATGGGGGGTTGATTTTCCTTATCAAAGGAGATAATATTAGCACAGACCAGAAAGAAGGATATAGTATTTTTTAAAAGCAGTATTGACAAAAACAAATCTTTGGGAGTACCAAGGAGAGATGGAATTTCAATTTGGGATGAGTAGAGAGTTCACAACAATATCAACATATATATTCCTGAGGTAAAGAAAAAGTGCTAAAGAGTTTGATGGGGAAAACAATAATCTAGGATGTTGCTTGAGACTCTTGGATAATGTGTGTAGTCATTAATTTATTAAAAATATTTATTAACTTCAACTTCCTAATTTTTATCGGGCAATGTGCTTGGCTTACTAAGAGTATTGTGTGGTTTAAGATTGAACAATAGATAAGGAGTTTGAGTAGATAGGATTGGAGAAAGTTGGTTCAGGTTTTCTGATCTGTGTTTAGATTTCAGTTTTAGAAAATCTTGCTTAATGTTTGTTAATACTTTTGGATTTTATTTAAAGCATGAAAAGATGTTAAAGCAGGAGTAGAGAGTAGAACTGCTGACAATATAACTTATTAGCTTGTTTACTTGTTCATTTTAAAAATAGCTTCCTTGTCCATTACTATTCCTCTCCTGCCACCCTTATTTATCACCAAGAGAAAGACACATGACAGAGGGTGTGGGGCAAGGTCATTTGTTTAGGCTTGGGTGATGAGATAATAGCAATAAGGAAAACATTAATCCTGAGTACAGAGTTTTCTTCTAATTTTGCTTTGTTTTGTTATTTTTTGTTTTTTGCAGTACTTGTGCCAACTAAGGCAAGCACTCTGTTACTAAATTACACCCTTAGCTTCTTACTCTTGATGCTTTAGATTCTTGTTTCTAATTTTAATCATTTTTCTTTTTGTTTAGAAGTGATATGTCCAATGTTAGACTTCATTCCATTATAGAAAAAATCATAGGTACTCAGAAAGCCAAACAGAAAATAGTCTGGGATCCAGAGCAAAGGGATAGAGAAGCAGGGTGTGCCATATATCCTCACTACACAGGATTCATGGGTGGTACAGATAAGATGTTACAATGACATTAACCAACATTTGGAGGTCAGAGTCCTAGTCATTTATATAAAGTGTATAGCTGCTCCTGTGTTTCTCATTTAACACAGATTTCTCACTGATGACCTGGATATTGGAGGAATAGATGCTTAAATTGTAAGGATTCAATATTTTTTCTGTTGGTTAATCAAATGTGGGTTACCATTCCCTTAGTCTGTAGATTTAAGAATTCTAGAGCACTAAACATTATTGTGTGTCATGTCCTAGCACTTATGTGATGGAAAATACCTATCTTCCATATCCAGCAACCTGAACATAGTATTTTATTGTACTTTTGTCTCTTTTTAATTAAAATGTAACATACATGGAGTAAATCATGTGATAATATTTTAGTGTTGGGCTTATTGAAGCTTTAAATGATCTAGAAGAGAATACCTCACATTTTAAGCAGTCTTTACACTTACTTCATGTCTTTTCTCAGACAGTAACCCTCTTTGCTCAGTATCATTGATTATTTTGACTTCTACAACTCTATAACAGTTATATCTGCCTCTGAAGTGTGTATATATGGATTTGTCTTGAATGTACACATTGTGTTGACTTAATTCAATATAATGACATTGAGATTCATATATGCACTGTATTATCTTTGATTTATAAAATTCTAACATATTGTTTTATTGAATTAACATGACAATATTTATATTAATAATTTGGAGGTATTTATTATTCTATTATTACTTATTTTGAATAATGCTGTAGAACAATCCTGTTTTATACTGTGAATATGTATTACTCTCATTGGTTAGTAAAAAGCTGACAGATCAGTGGATAGGCAGGAAGTTAGGCAGGAAAGCCAAACTGAGAAGGATGGGAAGAAGGAGGGTGGATTCAGAGAAGACACCAGCCAGCCAGCCAGCTACTGAACAAGCAGGGCATATAAAAAATGAGGTAACAAGCCATGAGCCATGTGGCAAAGCAAAAATAGAAATATGGGTTAATTTAAATGTAACAGTTATCTAGTAACAAGCCTGAGCTATTGGCTGAGCATCTATAATAAATATAAGCCTCTGTGTGGTAATTTGGGAAGTGGCTGCTGGGTATTTGGAAATGGGTGGTTGGGACCAGAAACATCTGATTACAGAATAAAGCTGCATTGGATATCTTTACAATGTCTTTTGTTAGGCATACACAAATATCTCTTGGCCACATTTAGTTATACAGCCACTGATTTAACTAACCTTGGGCAGAATATACTCAGAAAACAAATACAAGAACATGTACAAACATATTTTCTTGCCATTATTTTCTAAGTAATAAAGCCATTGGCTTGGCATCTATAATGCAGAAAGTGTGATGAGTAACCTAGAGATGATTTAAAACACACTGAAGAATGTATACAAGTGGCATGCCTTTTTCCATGAAGGACTTGAGATGTGAGGATGCTGGTATTGATGTGTGGTACTGGAGCCAATTCCACATAGATACTTGGAGATCACTGCATACAACCAGGTTAGTGAGCCTGGTGGTGGTGGTGGTGGTGGTGGTGGTGGTGGTGGTGGTGGTGGCACACACCTTTAATCCCAACACTTGGGAGGCAAAGCCAGGTAAATCTCTGTGAGTTCCAGTCCAGCCTGGTCTACAGAGTGAGATCCAGGATGGGCACCAAAACTACACAGAGAAACCCTGTCTTGAAAAACAAAATAAAACAAAAAACAAAACAAAACAAAAGTACAACTAGGCTAGTGTATATGAATATATATAGCTTTAGTGGGTTTTAACAAAGTGGTCTCTTTATACTCTGCTGTTAATATTTGAGCATTTCATTTACACTATGTCCTTGCCGGTACCTTACATGTAAGTGTTTTTCACTTTATTATTTTATGTTTGCTTTATATAATTATATTATAGTACACATAATTTAATATATATTTTATATAATTTAGCGCATTATAAATAAATTATATAAATTTATATAAATTATATAAAATCATACTATATACAATATATTAATGTTATATACAAAGTATATATAAGCTGTATACTATAGAACATACACTATCTATAGAATATACACTAATACAGTCATTGAATTTGGGAGCTGCATATGTAGATATTGGGGTGGGGAAGCTATTATTCTGTTTACTAAAACCTAGATATCAGTATTTTTTTATGGTCAGAATTTATGGTAGCTTCTTTAAGAACTTTATGTCTATCTTAATGGTCATGAAGATATGCTCCTGTGTTCTCAACAAGAAGACTGACTATATTGTTTGGTGAGTATGAGAGTTATTGTTCTAAAGAATACTTAGATTTTCAGAAGGACTTTCCTTTGCCATGTAAGTTGAATTCTGTCTACTATGAAGAGTACAGTCACTGTTGTGGTAGTCATTCTTCTTTATTAACTTGCCAAAACTCAGTTCTTTTTCTTTTTGGTTGTGAGCCTATCAGAGAAGATGTATTTGTTTGGTGTGGAGCACTGAACCTCTGATGTCTCTGGGTAAATGAGATCAAAGTCAGTCCCTTGGGTGAGGCTTTCAGAGAAACTTCTAGAGAGCCAGGAAAAACTGATTACCTTTTTTCCTTATTTCACCTGGAACCAAGAGGTGAGTAGCATTTTCCTTTTTCATCTATGACATAATAAATGTATACTATGAATTGCTAAGTATATTAGTTACTTTTTTGTGCTTTTGTGATCAAATGTCTGCCAAGAAGGAATCTGAGGCAGGAAAGATTTGTTTTGGCTCGTAGTTTGAGAGGACACGGTCCACAGTGATGAAAAGGGAATGGAACAGGTGTATCCATGGCAACAGGAGCATACCACTGGGACTCTTTACAAAATTATATCTTGGTAGAATAAGAAGCAGCCATAGAGAAAGAGAGGAAGTGGATCCAGACAATAAACTGTAAGGTTACCCCCACTAACCAGTGACTTCTTCCTGCTGAACCTTCCCTCCTCAAACACCCCCAATAACCCCAACCGATGGAGTGAAAATGTCCAAACACAGGAGCCTATGGTGGAAATTTGATATCTGGACTATAACATTCTGTTTTTGCCTCCATAAGCTTACAGAGAACTCATGATGCAAAGTGCATTCAGTCCAACTTCAAAAGCTCCCTCAGTCTTGTAGTTTCAATGGTGCTCAAAAGTCCAAAGCACAGAGCTCAGTGGTAGAATACTTGCCTAATATGCTCAAGCCCCTACATTCAATCTCTAGCAACACACACACACACACACACACACACACACACACACACACACACACACAGAGTCCAAAGTTCAACATATCTTTTGAGATTCAAGACAAAATCTTTGTTATAAGCCTTTGTAAACAAACAAACACACAAATGATCTGTAGCAACAATAACAAAACAACAAGAAGTCATAGTCTAGACTGGCTGAAGGCATCACCATATGGATCAGGCAGGCAGTGTCATTATGGTGAGCAAATATATGATGGAGAAATGGGAGAGAAAGAGATGCAGAATGGTTCATGTGCTATGGAAAGAGGCAGAATTGAAGAAGCAAATGTGGTAAGGAACAGGCTGATGTGGATGGGATGTGGGTGGCCTGCTTGCCTTCCAGGGTCAAGGTGATATCTGGGCCCAGGCTGTAGACAAGAGCGATGTCTGGGCCCATGGCCCTACTGCAGCCTGGGTCTCTGTTGACATCCATGACTCATGTTGCCACTAAAGGCCACAAGGATGCCCAGGCTCTGAGCCACCACCTGTGGCCATGTTGGTGTCTGAAGACTGTGCTGCCACCTGGGGCCATGATGACATCTGGGCCTGAGCTGCTACATGTCTGGGTTCGTGGCCTGTGTTACCACAGGGGGCCATAGGAACCATATTTGTTGAAATCTGAGGGCTATGCTAAGCTCCCCCCTGCCTCACTGGACACTGCAGCTGGACAGCTGGCCCTGGCTCTCATGGGAGAGCTGGGCCCCGTACTTGGGAGAGATGGTCTTGCCCCTCACCAAGGGTGTGAGAGAACTGGCCCCAGTGGCACGGGAATAGCCACAGGACTCCCATTACCCAGGTCAACAGTAGGACATCTGAGAGGTTTGGGTGAGGGTTCAGTGATGATGGTGTGCCAGAGGCCAGAGGTCAGAGGCCTTGAGCTAGACCAATGACTCACTGGAATGAACATTTGTGGGTGGGGCTGGTTAGACAAAGGGTGTATACCGCATGACACACTGCAGCTCTCAGCGCCACTAGTACGAATAAAGGGGTGTTGGAGAGATGGGAAAGAAGGAGGAGACAGGTGATTTTTTTGTTTTGTTTTGAATAATTTTTTGGTGGGGTTTCTTTTGAGGGGATGCTGTAAAGTGAGGGGCAGATATGGAGGGACTAGGAGGAGAGTGGGGTTAGGGTTCGTGGTGTGAAATTCCCAAAGAATCAAGAATTTTGATATATGTATGTATATGTATGTACACGCCCATATATAAAAGAAGACCCCAAATATTTCATACCAATCTCCTCAACTGTTATACTGTTTTGCTTTTAATGTTGGATGAAATAAAATAAATTTGAGGACCTCTAGAAATAAAAACAGACAAAAACACAATAACCCAAAGCAAAAACAGCAAAACAAGAAGAAGTTACCTACTGCAAATATATAATAGCAGCACAAAGTCCACTTTTCCGTTAAAAAATGGGGGAACATGCCGGGCGGTGGTGGTGCACGCCTTTAATCCCAGCACTCGGGAGGCAGAGGCAGGCGGATCTCTGTGAGTTCGAGGCCAGCCTGGTCTACAGAGCGAGATCCAGGAAAGGCGCAAAGCTACACAGAGAAACCCTGTCTCGAAAAACCAAAAAAAAAAAAAAAAAAAAAAAAAAAAAAAAATGGGGGAACAGGAGGATAGCCAGGGAAGACAGGCCTTAACCAAAGTGAAACCTAGCAGCACAAATACCAAACCCTGTGGTGTCATGCAGCCTATGGGTCTCTTCGTGACATTTTCTGGGCTCCGATGGACATAAGCAGTTCTCTCCTTTCAGATTTGTTCTCTGTTTCATGAGTGGACTCTGTTTTGGGCTGGCTCTCCTCAATGCCTGAAGCTTTTGCTGGCAAACACCCCATGTTTCTGGCGTCTTCAATGTTTGGGATCTCCACTGGATATAAGTTTCCCCTTCCTAGCTGAATGCACAGCCCATTTCAGGAACTTCGTGTAAGGAATCTGACTGCTACACAGCACCCACCTTCAGCGACTGTCTCAAACATTGGTCAAAGCTTACATGACCCTGTTTGTCCTGCATGCTTGCAAAACTAGTACTGGATTGATGAAGCTAAGTTCTGCCAGCCAGAGATGTAGCCTAGTCCTGAACGAACCCAAACTATGCTAATCTCCATGTGCCTCTGTGGCTGAGCCTGAGAAAATGCTTCCTTAGGCATCCATTTTCAAGAACCATACCACAAATACTCTGTGTTTTTTGGGACTTTCTTTCCAACAGATTTTTACTGCTAAATCCTGGAGCTTGTTCTTGAGCTCATGCAAATCCTGGAGCTTGTTCTTGAGCTCATGCTAAAGCTACTTTTGTTACTGTCCACACGCCAAGGTCAAGGTTCTGCTTTACTGGTACCACACTGCTGATTTCTGCCTGCAACTTTAATGTGTTCACGTTCCTTTCCTCA